CCATTCAGTGGACATTCCAAGAACTAAACGAGAGGTGACACACGCACACTTTCTTACGGCTTGCGCTTCGGGTTTACTTCCCACCTTCAACCACCTTGAGTTCATGGTATAAACTAGCTCACTGTATTCAGTATAAACTATTCACTGCGGCCCAATGCTCGCTAAACCTTTCTAAAACCAAGGAGGTTACGCCCAGCGAGTATAACGTAGCAATCTTTTCCTGTCAGATAGTGCTCAACGTACATGCCAGTGGCTGCTAATGTGAAATTAGAGACAGGAGGATTCAGCTTATATAATTTCTTACGGCTTGCGCTTCGTATCTGCTTCCCCCCTTTAACCACCTCGAATTCCCCCCTTTAACCACCTCACTATATGCTGTATGTGGTTTTCACTGCGCTACGCCAACGGTGATGGCCTGCCTCCCTAAAGTGGTTTAAAAATGCCAGGCCTGCGGGGAAAACGTAATAGTCATGGTAAAATAAAAAAAAAAACTGGCGTTTCTACGACCCATTGTGCGTAAGTTCTCTCGAAGATATTAATACAATCGCAAGCCATCAATCTTGGTCACCCACCACGCCATTAATCGTCAATCTGCGAACAAACCACGCATTCGCAAGGCATCAGGTGCACTTAGTTTACGCGATGGCTGATGATGAACAATAGCCTGAACCCTTTGTAGCAGATTGCAACCATTCGGTGACCCACTCGTTACACAATTCGTACTGTGCGACACCTAAACACTCCAAGAAGACACCCGCATCATGGGCATAATGAAGTCGCGAATCATGATCGATATGCGCCACACTAGGCAGCACAACAAGCCGCGGGCACACTGAAAATTCCAAGATACCTTCTTCTTTCCGGACTTGTAAGGACGTGTGTGGCGTCAGGAAGTTGAATCTGTGGTGCCGAGCGTAAGTCATGCTGCGACTGGTCGACCTACGCCTTCCGGTAAGTCTGCGACTGGTCGACCTACGTTCCGGTCGACCTACGCCTTCCGGTAAGCCTGCAAGCAGCTGCCCGCACTTCGTCGTGTTGCGGTGGTGGCGGCTAATCATCTAGCACGGTGGTGCTGACGGCTTGTCGCCGTATGGATCCATCATGTTGGCGATCGTTTAAAGGCGTGCGTGCAACACACTGCAGGGTCCATACCATCGCGATTCGTAAGAGCACGAGCTGGTACGGCAACAGCGGAGCACGGAGTTGATGGAGTCGCGGCAACCGGACGCAGACGGTGCTTCGAACAGCGAGTTAGCGATGACGTATGCCATGCGAGCACCATGCGAGGCTAGCAGGGGCACTCTGCGAGGGGAATAAAGTGGCTTTGGGAGAGGATACCAGCGGACGGTAGCGTTTTGATCATCATGACAACGCCCACTGCAGGGCAAAGGCCTTTCCCGTGTTTCGCCAGTCAACTTGGTCCTGCACGTGCTTGCTGCTGACACTATATACCCGACCTTCCTAATCTGATCTTCCCACCTAACTTAGTCTCCCCTCACCCGCTTGTCCTCTGGGAATCTAAGCGGTTGTATTGCCTGTGCCTGGCCCATGCCCATTTCTTCTTCTTGTTTCAACTATGATATCCTTAACTCCGGTTTGTTCCCTGACCCACTCTTCTCCGTCCTTTCCTCTTTAGGTTACACCTATATTTTCCTTTTTATCACTCGCTGCGTCGTCAAAAATTTAAGATGAACCCTCTTTGTAAGCCTCCAGGTTTCTGCTCCGTAGGCAAGTACCGGTAAGATGCTGCTGTCATATACCTTCCGCTCGAGGTATCCGATAGTGGCAATCTACCAGTTAAGACTTGAGAATGCTTTCAGAATGTGCTCCACGCCATTCTTATTATAGTCACTTCAATCTCGTGCTTCTACCGCGGAGCCGATCATCAAACGCATCTAACTCCGCTATTACGGCACCATTACGAAAAATTCTCACGGTTACGCTAGGCATTCGTAGTTGACTCGTGCACGATTTCTCCACCGCAATCACATTGCAACCTTTAGTTGTTTAGGGACCCTTTAACTTCATTCCTTGCCCGACATAACGCTTGTATAGGTTCTTAATGTGAAGGGGTTTCGAGCACCATCATGACTCTGTGGTAGAATACTAGGCTGCCACGGAAAGGGTCGAAGTTCGAGTCCCGTTCTATCCTGGACATATTAACATGAAAATGTTTATGCCGGGTCCACCACATCTCTACTAACGTATTTCCGTCACGGACACGACGTAACATAAACACTAACAGACGCAAAAGAAAAATAAACTGGAAAAAAATTAAGCCACCGGGAACTGGGCCTGCGACTCATCACTCCTGAAAGCGCGGCGCGAAACGACTCGGACACAAAACACGTCGTTCAGCATCCTAACGGCGAGCTATTTATATACACAGTTTGCCATTAGCGGTACTCCGAGCTCGTTGGCTTCAGCATATTATCGTCACGGGCGAGATAGAGTCATGAGCTCGAAGGGCACGCTTTAAAGATCGTCATCCTCGCAATCCCGTGAGCGCGCTGATGTCGCGATGGGAGCGGTTGTAACGTCACCAGGGAGCATGAAGGCAACAACGCTCCCTGCAGCGGTCACTTTTACGAACAATAAACCCTCAGCTGCTTCTGTGAAGGCACGTTTCACCTTCGTGTAACACCAACGTTACGGACACCGGCAGCGGACAACTCCGGCACCAGCTTTCGCTGCATATGTATGGCGTACGAGCTTCTATCGTGAGGCGGCATTACAGTCGTTCCCTGTAGTGGCCATCAATCACGCCTGTGGTGGCTGCTGTGCTCCTTGCGAGCTCTCTCTGCGGACATTTTGAACAGAAAGAGGAAGCACCTCCTTTATGCACTTGCATAGTGCTACGAAGGCAGACATTTCAGCAGTCCCATTTTTACAGCAAAAGCTGTTATCACAAAAAGGGTCGTGTGTGCAGAGGTTGTCGGCTGCCGGTGTCCCTTTATCGCACAAAATGAAGAAAAAGGTAAATAAAAAAACTCCAAGGTAACAATCGGATTCGCACCACGGTACCCTGCGTTCCAGCCTAGTATCTATATCGGGCCAAATACGAAGGGGTAGACAGTATGCAGTGCGTGTGGAGAGGAAGAAGAAACTGCCGAACACTTGATAATGTTCTGTAAAGGGCTTCACCCTATAGTTCAGGATGATGGCGCAGAGTTTTTCAAAGCACTGGGGTTTAGGGACCGGGAGGGCAAAATAAACTTTAAGCGGGTAGACTTAACTAGGAGGTTATCTGATTGGTGGCTAAAGTCAAGGCACGAGTGAAAATTAAACTCTTCACTGCAAAGTACGAATCCTCAAACTCACTTTTTAAGGAAAAAAAAATAAATATAGTTTTTGGTTCATTAGGTATTACGGCTTGGTGGCGCTAGCCACCGCCCGATCTAAAGGGTACAGCCATATCCATCCAACCTTCGAGCTGCACCGATGCTTGGAACTCCGTAGCAAACTGGTCACAGGCAGGCTTTATGTCAGGGAAGGAATCGCATTAATATGTGTATATAAGGAGCTTTGGAACAGCTAACAGCCACACATCACACAATGCGAATTGGGTAACGAGTGGGTTGTCGAATGGTGCAACCCATTACAATAACGATATAGTTTGTCGTCGGCCACCGCATAAAAAATTGCACAAAATTCCTAACAAGTGTGTAGCGGGTACCAAACTTCTCCAAAGAATGGTATAGTGAATGCCTCCCCACTACACAAAAATGATTTATGACGTAGCAGGCACTCTGCAAGTGTGCGTGTAGCAGTTACCAAGACGGTGTTTAAAAAAGACCCTGAAAGGCCGCTCTTCAAGCTTTTGCTGTGACTGTGCTGAGCGTTCAACACAGGCCTGGCAATTGTATGGAGGCCATCCATATTTACAACGTTCTTCCGGAGATGGTGGCAAACCTTAAGAGTTATTGTTGAAAACAGCTGTCCACTCAAACGAATTCGTGTGTAGACAACGCTATGTTAAAAAAAAAAAAATCCTAATTCCACTGAAACCAAAAGTGCAGCTAACCAGATAATCAACCGTCGCACGCTTTAGTAAATGATGCTTCCAGCCGTGATAGATCAAGTAGGTTGTTATAAAACTTTTTTTACGCAAAAATTTTGGTCTGTTTGTACATTTGTCTACCCTTAACGATACCCCAAACGGCCGACCCCATCCGCAGCACCCACCAGTATTGGTAAAGATTTAGCGTTTATACTTGTGCGATTGTCCATTTAAAAGCAATCATTGCGCATATCTGAGACACCATAACAACACGTCAATATTCCGTGTCTTTTTACTAGACAAGACATACATAGGTAATTCTAAGGACCGTAGCGCTTATCCCGCTGCGCTGACGATGCAACGTTTGCACGAAAAGGTGAGTGTTTCAAACGCTTTGCTAAGACGCAATGGTGGTGGCACCTACCCGTTGGCTTGCGTTCCTCACCTTATCGCCTCCGAGACGGGCGCGCACACCGCGCGCTTCGTTTCCCAAGATAACTGCCTGATAGCGCTCACGTGTGACGGGACTTGATGAGCTCGTTCGCCTCTGCTGCACGCTTGAAGCACTACAACACAGCGCCTCCAGAATAGCATCCACCGATTTTTCTTGCGCAGAACATTAAATAAACGTTTAGTTCACTTTCTCTAGCCGCAAGACTATCGTCTTTCGACGACATTTGCAGTGTAACATTCAGACACGGAGCCAATTTTTTGTCAGTACTACTTTAAGGAGGCCCAAATAAAATTCTGTACTGATGAGGATGCTGTCACGTTTGAGTTGCGAATGCCACCATCAGCGAGCCGCGGTGTGGGGATGCTAGGCAAAATGGGTGTGCCGAATCTCTTGCACGAGAGGGAGGAGGAGACAAAACGGTGGCTTGAGCTCGCAAAGCATCGATAAAGATCACAGCATGGTTTTGAAGCCAATATTCAACCACATCCATGACCAACACTGCACCATGTAGGCAACACACTGTGAACATTCATGACAAGAGACGTGTTCAGATGACTTGAAGAAACTTTATCGTTGGGTCTACTGTGATAAAGTGGATCTTGCATCATGAGTACAGCCAAGCATTCCCGATATCTTCAGAATGAGGCAGACCAGCAATCCATTCGGTGTGCTACATGTGGTAACAGTACCACAGTTGCACCGCTTTGCGAGTTAGCAAGTCTTGAAGTTTACTGCTACGATGAAATGTTTCCTCAAGTTATAAAATTGCCTGTCAAACATTTAAACCCATGCAACCAATAGTAATAACACAGGCAAGCACACTACAATGAAATTTTACACAGATTTAGTAGTACATATGTACACAATTGTATACCAGCAAAGCGTTGGGGAAAAAAAAAATGTTGAGCCCATCTTTATGTACATAAAAGTGCAAGGTCAAGCCGCTTCGTCATGACCAGCCAGAAACCAAGCACACAAGAACAACAGGTACACTCCAATCTGTGCCCAATGCAAACACTACAAAGCCCATAGTGTAGCGGCTTTTTCTTTTACACACAATGCAACATGCAGATGACAAGGGGAGCATAACTTATAAACAAGTCTCAACAAAGGAGATACCCTTAACAAGAAGCAGCAAAGAAGCAACTCTAATTGCATAAAAATTCTCATCAAAAAAAGTTTTTCCCGAGCTGTTCATTATGGAAGGAAAATGCGGAGAGAAAAAATAGTGCCTATGCTACTTTAGGTATTTGATTTTTTTTTGTTGTTGTTATAGAGAGGCTATAAATGTTAAGATAAGGAGTACAAGCATGAGAGAAAAACATCATTGTACTGCGGCCTTGCTTTCTAAACTTTTATTGGCACTCGCTACGATAATGGGACCAGTAATTTCAGCAGCACCGATATCGGTAATGGACAGTGCCTTCAACATCCGCTCTCCCTTAAGTGGCCGATCCAAAGCCTTCTAGCAAAACGGTATGCTTGGTGGTTTGACAATGTCTCTTGGAACAGGAGAGCAGATGACGTGAGAATAGGATACTACCTTCGAAATTCTGTTTCAGAAAAGAAAAAAAAACCTATAAAACTTCGTTTCAAATCTACAACTCTTTGGCCATAAATTTAACGCTCTAGTGCAACGGTGCAAAAAAAAAAAAAAAAAGAAAAGTGAATGGTGAGCATGTTTACCAGGGTCAATATGTGTTATATGTTAGCGAATGTGACTGGCCCATTACTGTAACCAGTTACAATTTATTTTGGGGCAAACTCAGCCTTCAAAGGAGGTCTTTTATATGGTTCACCTTAGAACATGCATCAAATATAGAAGAAGCCCATATATTCACAAGGCTGCATATGTTTTCGAGGAAAATGTCCAGTGTGGCAGAAATGAAAAGAAGAAATAAAACGTGAGGAAAATCAAACAGTGATTATGATGGCAACAAAGCACACTGCCGAACGCCTTGCTTCGCAGTTAAAAATGAACATGCTTCATGAACCGATGTTTGATTCACGAGCAAGGCAAGAATTCTGAAACAATACTAATGTCGGGCAACACCAGTGTCGACACGTCTTACGGGAAGACCCATTGCCAATCCACATAATACCATTTGATGGACTGGCAAATACTTTTTAAGCACCTTATCAAAGCTAAGAACAAATGCTTGCATGCAGATAAGGGCAGCCGCAGCTGTGCACTTACTCAAGCACATCTTCATGCACCAGTTTTAGAGGTTAGCACGGCATTGACAATCTAGGCAATAAAATTATTTACATAAACACGCGCGACTTCCGAGGTAAGGATAAGCGCACTGCGGCATTTTTTGTCGCAGTAGATTTTTCTCGATTTGCTTCAGATGTGGCAATAAATGTTAACTTGCTGAACCTCCTTAACAATCGTTTGGACAAAAATATACATAAAAATTTTGTCCTAGATTGGAAACCGCTTTGTGAACATGCAATACAACACAATAAAAAGACAATGCTTTCCCAGTTAAGGAGTGAAACCAGGACAACTCCCCCCCTTCCCCCCCTCCAGACACTCTGTACTACAGCAAGCATAAGAAGCGGTAAAGTTAAGAGACAGTACATTGAAATGACAAGGAAGGTGCATTTTGCACTTCCTGAATAGGGAACGTAGAAAAAGCTTGGAAAAACCTAACTAGACAGAGTGATGACCAGTTGTTACAAAAGTGTATCAATATAATAAAACTCAGAGCAGTTAACCCTCTCATACTCAGTATACTTAGCACTTAGCAATGTTATGCATTTCAGCATCCTGAAGAACAGCACAAAATAGCGGTTAATCTCTTAAATCCATGGAATATGCAATAAATGCCATAGATTGCACCATGAGAAAGACCTTTTAAAAGCATACTATGTATTTCAAACTTTTGTTCATATCACTAAGAAAAAACTGTTTACGGTAAAGGAGAAAAGCAGTGCTGACCTCTTCAGCAACATGTTTAACTACGTAATCATCTAATCGCTTCAGCGGACTACGCTTACTTTGGATTGTCGATTAAAAGTGCCATTGGCAGTGACAATCTCTATGAAAGAACTTGCTCTTTTTTTCTTTCCTTTTTTTACCCATCGTCTAGATCGCTTGCACAACATAGGAGCGCTTATGATCAGTTGAAACTGAAGAGAGGTGTTCAAAGAGAACTGACACAAAAGTTCACAGCAGAGATAGCATGAACAATATTCAGTGCAGAATCTTCACAGTGAATAAAGCCTGCTAGGTAATTTAAATGAATATTGAAGCTTGCATGTAATCTAGCACTGTACATCGCACCTTGCAACAATGACATTGCACGAGGGTACCTGAAAGGGAGCAGCGACCACTCCCGACAACAACGCGTCTGAACTCTGAGCTGGCGGGAGCTAGCACTGACAACGCCATAGTCACTTTTGCCCTTTCGCCTTGCTTATGCAAACAGACTGCGGGCTGTTCACCAGCATGTGCTTATGGTGGACAAGGGGAAAGCCACAAGAACATCGTTTCTGCCGCCATGCTGGTGACGACGACAGCGATCTCTGGAAACACATGCAGCTGGCGGAAGAATGCCAACAGACGATGCAAGCTGCCCGCAAAGGTGACCAAGTTGTGTCTTCGTGTGGTTAAGGCTGTTTACTATGTCGCACTCGCTAGACAGTATTTTTGTCACACGATGGCTGGTTCTCGGAGCACTCCTAAGCCATAAGCGTAAACTTCAGCTGGTTGTTCGTAAGCAGATTTTAAATAATTACCTGTCGTGTGAAGCATCAAGTGATGTGCTATGCTACGGCTAATAGGCTCCCTGAAACATGCTGGCGAATGAATGTTGTCAGTGTTAAACAGCATCATAAACAAAATTGCTGTTTTAAGCGTGCACATCGGCTGCCCCCGCACTGAAAAAGTGGTAATGCGCGTTACAACCTGCTAGAATATCAATAAAACACTGCACATGTGCCAACAGTGCCCCCTCACATTCTTTTAGTTTCTTTGAGTAGTCAATGGAATGATTTATTCAGTGCTGGCAAAATGAAAAGCAATGTGTGAAAAAAGTTTTCCAAGGTTCTGCCATTGTGTGAAGTCTAATGAAGGCGCAAAGGTTTACAGCAATGTTGCTACTAATGAGTACACAAAATAAAAACTGATAAAAAAAACAAACTTAGCAGAGCCCTGTCCTTAAAATTTGCTGAATATCTAATTGGTGAGGGTTCTGCATGCTTTTTTTTCCCCCTGTGCACTCTCGTGCACCTTGTGGCACTAAGGTTCCAAGGACGAAGAGAGGGTGCAGGACACTTGCGCTGCAAGTGCATAGCAGGTCCTATTTAAAGTCGAGCACAAGAAAGCGGTCGTGAAGATTCGATATTGCGTGATTCCTAGCATAGAGATTTTCTACACAAGATGACTGAACTTGGTTCCACTAATATATATATAGAGAAAGAGTTATGTTTGATGACAGCCTGAAAGTAATGTAACTCTGTTTTGAAAACACTGAATGCATCGCTGTGAGGTGAGAATGACGATGCATGACACTGCCTTACAAACTTGCATAAGGAGTGAGAACAGTGGCTTGAAATGTGCGACATGTGGTATCTGAAAAATGGCAGGCAAGAAAAATAATAATCCTGGAACAGTGTAACTAGATAGTCTCGAGAAAAAAAAAAAAGTGTTTATTATTGAATGACCAGTAATTGCATTTAGTCATGCACTCTTTTGAAGGCTTCACTTCCTCGCACCACGAGCGCAGCCATTGGCACATGCTCGATCGAAAAGCAACAAATGTGCACAACCTTTCCTGCAAATAAATGACCCCACCTATGAATGCTTACAGCTCTATCCATTAGAACTGTGTCTATAATAAATCTGCAATAAAGAAAAGATTGAGATAATGGAGGGGCAAAAAAAGGGAATGAGACAGACTAGGGAAAGACGAACGCACAAAAAACTACCTTGATAAAAGCAAAGGAAAGGAAGCAAGTGTGTATACGACGAGTTCAAAAATGAATAACTGTGATGAAATAGCCACTGTAACCAAAACAAAGAGGGCGAGTGCGAAAACGCTCAGCATTTTCGCTTGCAGAGGGACGACTGCTTGGCAGACCGCCGCTTAAATGTCGAGCTCGAACTCGTCGGCCTCGATGGGCTTGGAGACCCAAGTGCCGAGGCCGGCGGCGCTAAAGGCCTCGGTGACGCGCGTCTTGGCTTCCTGGTACAAGCCGGCAGACTTCTTGGCTTCTGCATAGAGCCGGGGCTTCTGGCTGGGGTCCTGGCGCTCGATGGAGGGCACTTGCCCCCACAGGTGGCAAAAGCGGTCAAAGAGCGTGCGCTTGGACAGGCGCGACACCTGGCCTTCCTCCGTCTTGCCTGTGCTCGCATTGACCACTTCAGGACCCTCACAGCCAGCTGTCCAGTTGATGCTGAAGTTTGGAGACTTGTTTACCTGCACAGGAAAAAGAAGGACAGGGAAAGAAAGAGACTGACAATTAAAAGAATCGTAACACAAAAACTAATTTCAATTGCATTATTTAATTGCCCTCTCGCAGTATCGAAAATACCACTGCTGCTGCAAGAGCTTCCCAGGGTATCCCCAAGTATTCCGAGTCCCGTAGACCATTTGACATCTAATGTTATGATGAAGCTTGCATTTTTATTTACACTTCTTTAAATTAAAATTTCACCTATTAAATGTTGAGCCACCAGCATTGTTATACCAGCAAGTCAGACCTTGTGCTCACAAAAGTCAAGGCCAAAAATAATAATATTATTAATAATAATAAAAAGATTTTGCTCACCATCCACAGTGGTTTTGAGGGTTTAAGATTGATAACAGATGTCGCAACAATAAAAAACGCTAGGCCTGCACGAAACTCGCAGCACAGTTACAGCGAAAGCTAGAAGGGCGACCTTTCAGAGCTTTTTCTTAACACTCCTTGGGTAACTGCTACAAGCACACTTGCTAGGGTGCCCACTACGTCATAATCATAATTTTTGTATAGTAGGCCAGCATTCACTATCCTGTCTTTTGTCTTTTTTTCAGAGAATCGTAGTATTCGCTACACACTTGCTAGGAGTTTTGTGCAATTTGTTTTATGCAGTGGCTGACATCGCTGACGAATTATGCCTGAAATGGGCATGCACCAGAGCTAATAGGTGATCAAGAACAAGTTTTCTAATGGGTTAGAGCCTTGGACGACCCACTAGTTATGCGATTCACATTGTGCGATGCCTGGTTGTTCCTTTGATATTGCAAGCGCTCTATTACTCACATTAATATGATTCCTTTCCCAACATAAAGCCTGCCAAAAACCAGTTTAGAAACGAGTTCTAAGCACCGGCGTGGCTAAGTGGTAGAATACTGAGCTGGCGTGCACTGGACTCGGGTTCAAATCCCATTGTGTCCTTGGTGTTTTTTATTTAGTTTTTTTCTTATTACGTGCCATACTAATTATAGATGCCGGTGGCGGCGACGGACTACAGCGCCGAGTGTGACCTGTGTTTTGATCTCGTAACAGCTTTTGCTGTAAAAAATGACATACACCCATATATATGTACTTATGTACCGTAACATCTCGAGCAAGCATCTCTACCTAAGCATGCGCTCCCGTTTCTGAAGATTAGAAATAAGCTCCAATGATCAAGCAAAGGAGCCTCTTCCCCCTCCCACCAATTTTTTATCAATTTTATTACAACCTGCTCTCCACTACAGGATCTTGCAGCAGCAGTTCCTAGCAAACTAAGATCCGTGTCATTAAATATGTGCATGATTTCTTTTACAGTGTGGTGCCTTGGGATGGTATTTTGAGTAGTTGCAAATGATTGGAACATTTCAGAGCGTCTTCCCCCCTTGTCATAACACGTGTCGATTTCTTCCGGTGCAGTAAAAACAGTAAACGCATGCGTATGCAATAAAACCCTTCATTAGAAGTGCGGATGTGCACTCTTGAAGGCTCTATCCACTGTCATCTTATATTTTGGTGCGCAACCAAGCAATGGCTTCTCTCAAAACCTTGTCCTATTATATTTTGTCTTTAGGGGGGGTTCTAGAGTAATGAAAAGAACGGGATGTCAAAGCCACCTTTCTTCACGCAAAAGCTTCACGCAAAAACAGAAAGGAAGCCTGGAATATATCAGCATAAACCTCTATTCATTACATTCTGCTATGCTGTGATACGACTTAAAACAGCCGTACTGCTTACTGCAAAACACTTCACAAAACTGACCAGAAAAAGTAGAATTTTAAAGGTACATTAAAGAGCAAAACAATTTTTCTTATGTTAATAAAGTATAATTTCGCAATCTCGAAAACACCACTTTCACCGCTACAGGATGCTTAGGTAAGCGAGAAAACGCACGAAAAGAAAATGCGGGTGGCGACATCACTCTGCGATTCCCGCCTCAAACACCGTGACGTAAAAAATTTTGAAGGCATCTAGTAGGTCTTACGTAGCTTTCAATCTGTAAAAGGGAAGTACATTGTCATCTGTGGTCACCATAGGCCTATCATATGAAGTTAAGGAAAATTTTGTCGAGCCAATGTCACGACGATACCGAAGATACGTTTCGAAATTTTTATTAGGTCACGCGCGACATTTGAAAGCGAAACTTCAACCTTGATTTTCTCCACTAGTACTTAACTTGTGGTAGCGAAACATATGCCATTACAGTTCTCAGTGTAGTTTGTCAATCTAAACCACGGCATTGTTCCTCTTTAGTGTCCCTTTATGGGGTCGCTTTTATTCGTTAAACACAAAACTAACCCACTGATGAACTAAAACTTAAATGCACTGCAGAGAAAAAAGAAACTAGAATTAGCCAAGCACTTAGTATCTGGTTTAAATTAAACAGACAAATTCTAAAGCCTACAGCATAAAGACGTTAATGGGAAGGTTCTTGCGAAATGAGGTTTGGTAATACCAGGATCAAAAGTAATAGTGCAAGTGGTGGAGACTGTGCAGAGAAGAGCCTGACAGAGCATACCCAACATTAGCTTTCATTGCCAGATATCATCTCACATGCACCTGCAATTAATTGTGGTCCCAAAGCGAAACTGTTAATACAGTTATCAGAGAAAAAAGAACACTCTAAGAGAGTATTTTGAATTTTTAAACGAGACGAAGTATAATGTCAAGAGGAAGTTTTTGCTAAAACAGGGCCTTATATGGTGGATTATTTGGCACGCATACATTGGCAACTGCACTTGACACTCGAATTCCGGTCAACCACGGCATCCAAGCAAGTGACAAATGCTTTAGGCTACCTGGTGCACTATAGAAAATGTCTGAACTTTCAGAACTTCTGAAATTTGATATTTCCGGCATGGAAATAGTCCTTGCTATTCAAGAATGCACTTTTCAAACATGAAGCACACTAAAATTCGCTTTCAAGTTGTCTTTTTCAGAACTATCAGCAGTTTTCTGGAGGCATTTTGTAATTTTGTAGAGGAGTAAATAATTACAGACAATGGCTGTGACAAAATAGATACAGGCATTGGCTTTGATGCAGTAATCAAACATGGAAACTGCATCACAGCCAATGCATTGTAAGTATTTTGTTTGTTGAATAATTGCCCTTATGCAAATCAAGACCCCATATTTGTATATAAGATCTGCCTGGTGCATTCGTTTAGAAATTCCCACCTCTACAAAATTAAAAAACACCTGCAGAAAATGGGTCATAGTTCTGAAAATGTTAAGTTCAAAGCAAACTTTAGTACGCTTCATGTTTGAAAAGTGCACTCTTGGATAGAAAAGGCTACTTTCTTGCCAGCAGTATCAAATTTATCAAGTGCTTGCACAGCATTAGAATTAACATTGTATTGCAACACTAGGTAATAATTTTGTTTCTTTTACTACAGGATGTCCTTTGATTCTGGCCAGGCTGGCAGTATACTTTGACAGCAAAGGCAGCTTCAAGAGGAAGTGATAGAAGATATCTGGTACCGCCTGAAAAACATCTCAGCAGCTCAATGCCACTGAAAAGAAAATGTTCATTAAAAAGAACAAGGCACATAGCTTCTGCACAGCCTCGTGATAAGGAAGTGCCAAGAAGGCTCCTGCTAATGGCGTTTCGGTTGGGAGTATTTCGAAATATTATATGGAACTTCATCATGAAGTTCTGCTATATTAAAAGGATGCACACCATTCGAAGTTTTATTTCATGATTGCACATATACTGAGGCACCCTGCTATTTTTAAAAAATAAGGGGGGGGGGGGGGAAACGCTTGAGCTTTGCCTTCAGAAATGCTAACTAACGTGCTTAGGTTCTCGGTGCATGCTTTAACCATGACAAAGAAAACAAACGACTGCGAGTGTAACATCAGCCGTTTCATAGTATCAATGAGTGCACACTGCCAGGCACAGCTGTTAAGTGCCCACTTCACCATAATTATTCCTTTTGCGAATAAGCAAAAGCCACACTACGCGTTTGTAGGGCAACATGCGAACCTACACAGCTGTTCAATTTATTGATGGTTCTGCTGCTGCTGATCATGATTAAACATGTCTGGGCACCTTGTAAAGGGTGGGCCTTCAAAACACTCGTCGGTTGCCAAATTGACATCTTTTGACACCCGGTGCCATTCTACATTTCTGCCAGTCAATAATGATGCGTTCCACTACATGGCATTCCCATAGTGCTTTTTTTTTAAGCAGTTTCAGCAAACTTCATGCTCTGTGGCAGGCTACCTGGGTTCCATGTTTTCTCAGACTCCTAAATTTTTATATTCACTTTAGTTGCATCTTTCTCAATGTTTCGGTCAAGGACAAGATTATCATTTTTTGCCGACAACCAACGACGCCAACACCGATGCTGACACTCGAATATCTGAGAAACAAGTTCTTTAACACTGTAGCATTAAAAAAAACAGTGCCCTTTTTTCATGGTAGTAACACTTCAACCTCCGAGTGCCACTACAGTAGACAATTAAAAGGTATAGGAGTGGAAAAGGACGATGCACAGGTGCTAGCATGTTTTTGTTAATGAATTAAGGCTTTGTACAAGGAAGTCAGTTAACACATACAGCCTTAATCTAGAGAAGAAAAATGTAAGCTATCAAATCTGATATCTAGCGCATAGGGAAACTGTAGTGCCTGTTGGATTAAGTGACAAACTCCTGATGCCATGCACATGATGCATTATACTGCAGCAGGAAAACCGCCCAGCTAAATTCTCACTTCTATCTGTGGTTCCCTAGTACGAAATGCTAGCAGTCATAACTCGGTACGTCCCCTACTGGACCTGCTTTTTTTTTTTTTTTTCTGCAAGTAGTCTTCATAAGAATGTGGCTGCCATTGAAGCTTGGAATAAAACAGCTGACATGTTCAATAGCTGCAAGTCACAGCCCAAACAGCAGCTAGCAAAGTCGGCAGTAATGGTAGAACGAATGCTCTAAAAGAAAGCTTTACGATAAGTACTAAGCGAAAGAAACACTCAAACATAGTCAAAAGATCAGTTATTGTATAACGACCAGGCAAGCTGCTCTGGATATGTGAAACTACAAGGCGTGAGCCACAACAATGAGAAAGCAATAAACACTGTGCTTGAAAGAAAAACCACTGCAGACCTACAAAAAAAAAAGGCGGAGAGAGAGAGAAGCCAGAAAGCAATCTCAAAGAACTGAAATTAACAATTAAAAATAAAAAAAATGGAAAAAAGAGCGACACCGCTATGAAGGTAAGGTATAGATGACAGAATAAGTGATAAGATCTAAAACTCACGTGAAAGCCACAGGCAACATAATATACAGAGATCAAACAGCCATTTGAATGCTTCTCATTATGACACAGTTGCATTTTTTATAACAGTGCCAGAAAAATTAATCTAAAAGCAATGCACCAACAGCGGCCATCGCAAATTTTCTTCCTGAAAGGCATCTGAGGAACCTACTCACCGGCAGAGCGTATAAAAGTAGCACTTTCAAAAACCCAGAATCCCACAGGTGTTGCTCCTGCTCATCGAAACATTTCTATAAATTAAAGCCGGCACCAGCCTGCCCTTGTGAGAAGCGGAATGTACAAGAAACCTGCAGAGATCTATGGGGACTTCTGATACTCATGATAAAAGCTCTTGGATACAAGATGTGCAGCTTGGCATATCGCTAAGAAAGTCAAATAACACTAGGATTCCAGGATGAGAGTAACAAGACAAGAGAGGAAACCGCTGCGCTCGAATGCCTAGGTCAGGTCATAGGCACGTATTTGCTTATTCCGATAAGTATACGAGCTGTCCGTTACCGAAATTGCCAAGTTCGAAACTTACTGAAGAAACTATGTAGATGACAAATAATATAGTCCATTACATGAGCTCACTTCATAGTGACCATATATATATTATGTATGATGTTGCTCCTGGTACAAACGAAATGCTCCCTGGTTCAGCAATTGTGAGTATCGATGGAATCAATGGGTATCGATGGAACTCTGTCAGGGAAAGCAAAACCAAATGAACTATGATTTAGTTATTTGGTCAATTCCAGAGGAATCTCGTATTTCTTTTCATTTGACACGCATCAAGGTGTGATGAGAGAAATTCAGGCACAAGGCTAGCTTTAGGCCAGTAAACGACGTCGTAATACACCCACACACGAAACGAAATAACCGCAAGCATTTGCAGTCACAGCATTGCCCTGGTGCAAACACTTATTGCTTTGAACTCATACAAAGAACACACAGTGCTACTGTCCGGGAAAAAAAAGATGGCATCCAAGGAGGAGAAGCAAGCCAAGAGCAAAATGACACGTGATGCAGGCCAAGACCCACGTGTCGCAATAAAGAGGTAGCTGTCAAGAGTAAAAACAGTGCAGAGATGTGCAGGCGGATATCCCGGCCATGTCAGAAGAGATGATATGGTGACTGGATTTCCTGATGTGAAAAGACATAAAAAGGCAAAGCAGTCATAGTGCAGACGGAGGCCTGAACAAGAAATGTCGGTTGCAAGGAATGCAATGATAGCATTCAACGCCCACATCTATTTTAGAATACAAAAGAAGGACCAGATTTTTTATTTTTTCGCTAGGCTACACTGTTGCAGCTTTTCCTCCAACACAGTGTTTTCCCAGAAAGCACGGTTGCCTAGTTTTTATACAACACTGACGCAACCAGAATCTGCTTGATACGATAAAACAATAGTGCATAAGCATGCAAGCAAACCTTGCTTTACAGGATGATGCGCCCCCATAAACATCCCTCGGCACGAGCAACAACAACAACAAAACAGAAAAAAAAAAGGGGGGCGGGAGGGTTGCGATAACACATTTATTGTTGGATATGCTGTACTTACCCTGTAACGAGCAATATTGCCCTGTAAAGACCAATAGCCACTTATGTAGTTCACAGTCAGTTTCTGGCTGATGCTTAACTATAACGACACACAAACATTCAAGAGATTTTACATTCCAAGAAAGGAAAGCTTAGTTTGGCTGATGCTTAACTACAACGACACACAAACATTAAAGAGATTTTACATTTCAAGAAAGGAAAGCTTACAAAATTTCCCAACTTTCGTGCTTCTCAAGCAACAGTAGCAACATCAAAGCGCTGAAAGACAAACACAAAACTTGCCACACTAAGATTTTCACTAAATGAGGGCACGAGTTGACTCGAAAAAGACAAGAAAGCACAGAGGACAGAGTACACACAGGGATTTAGTAAAGTACACTGACAATTTGGGCTCGAAGGGGGTGAGGCAAAGGATGCCTCAGAATTGCTATTATCAAAATATCAAAAACAACAAATTTGCTATGCACTTTTCTCCATTCAAGGTTTCTCGTCACGTCACCAAAATTACTTATTCTTTCACCTGATCTGAAACCAGTTTGCGTAACCATACTTGTCGTCACAGTTAACCAAAAGTAGGACTAGCACATACACCAAATATCCATCCTCAGACACTTTGCAATAGATCAGCTCCACTTCAAGAGCTGCCTGCAAGTGGAGCCTCAATAACTTAGCAGTCTGGCTTCTCCAACAACACGGGTTCTCAAAGTGGCCTGGAGGTTCCACGAAGGACATCTTAGGGTTCCGCGTGTAGCCGGAACAAATGCGACCCGTCCCCATTTTACCCCCATTAGGAATTTATTTACATTTCAACTTTTTAAAATAAGAAACCGATGTAAGAGACAAATGAGTATAGGAGACTCCAGTGCCTGCATAAAAATAAGAGTTCATCAGAAAATGAGAACACAATAACCTGCTTATAGGGGACACTTCGTGTAAGAGACAAGAAGTGCTCCCCAGTGAATGGCTCTTATAAAGCGCTTCAAAAGTATTTAGAAAACCAAATTTTCATTGAATTCAGCACGTAATAAAGCCATCACATTCTGTATGCGCACACCGGATGTCTGAGGGAAGCGAGAAACCCGCATGGCAGCAACACTCAAGACTCATCGCATTGTGTGCCCCATGAAACTTGCACGATTTGCAGACCGATGGCGACAGAATGCGTCTAGCACTAGTAATTCATGCTCGTTAGCACTCAAATCAGATCAAACAACATTGAGGGGCACCTCGGCACATTGTTCATAGCTTGCAGTAACCTTGCAGACAACGTGGCACAGCTTTCGTACACGGTGGTCTGCCACTGTTCTGTGCCAGCTTTGTAATCAAAACGCGCAACAAGCACTTCGACGTGCGCGGCTCCATTCCTGCTGGCTGTGGGCTACACAAGCATTTGGGCTTAGCTTTACGAGCGGTGTATCGGTCATTGGCCTTTTCACCGTGCGATTTGCATGCCTTCTTTTTTTGTTTTTTAAGAAATAAAACAGGCTTCTGTACATCCGGCACTTCACTAGCGCGAAACACACAAGTGTGCCTGAAGTACCCAGTATATGGTCAGCGGCTACTTTACGCGACTGGCGGAGTGGCACGAGAAAGAGGGGAGGGGGTTCAAATTCAATGTATTTTTGGCAGCTCTGCATCAGCGGTGATGGCTTTCTTATTAAAATAAAAAAAAAGAGAGAGAAGACAAGCCAAAGCGGGCAGTGTTAACACGGTGGCATGCATTAAAAGATGACATCACTTGCCCCTCGCCTCCACTTTCAATTGTCTTCATCCTCAAGTGAAAGTTAGCCGTTCCGCAGCACTCTGGCTAAGTCGCTTGAGTGGCCCAAGGCAAGAAGTTTTCAGAACCTCCGTTCTACAGATTAGGTGCATTCAGCAACAGCTCATTCAACTGGACTTTACAGCCTTTCAATTATAGCAGATATCGGCCAAGTACGTTCCAAAAGGCAAAGCACGAATCTTTTGCATTCCTCAGAGTAAAACATGCGAGCGACCACGCAAGCGGAGCTCTAATTATTGAACAGTGCATAATAGTGTTTAAACTTTTGTTCATTTATATGAAAGTACTTATGTCGAGAGCGGCAGTCTGAAGAAAAAAAAAATGAATATCAAGCACATCGAAATATCAAAGTCTATAGTAATTGGTGGGTGCCTGTTCATCACAAGCTCTTAACTGCTTCATTTTCTTAACAGTGCTTAAATAGCATCTCTGCAGACAACACACGCCTGGTATTTAGCTGATATCAAGAAGTCCCAGTTAAGCGCCTAAAGAGTTTTTTCCTTTATTTTTTCGCGTAATCTTCTACAAGTTTACGCAAAGGAGGCATGCGTTTTGAATTGCAAGTCCCTTCTGGCAATAGTGACCTTTTTTCTTCAAGCTCAACTTCAAGAACATTTCCTTCTGCGAGTCTTTTGTGGCAGATGTACTTGTATCTAAACGTTTAAATTAGCACAGAGGCTGCTGCACTTTCTGATACTGTACAAGAATTGTTACGAGACTGAATGAATGCGAATTGTTTGAGCAACGTGTTCTCATTGTCAGACAACTTAACAAATCCAAAAAGAGCTCAGGAAAACCTGGAAAAAGTTACTTGCGATTTTTAACTGCAGCGCAGTTGCCATAAATGGAAATGAACTAAACTGGAGACATAAACAACCTTGCTGCCAATGGGGCCCTAGTCCACCACTTCAACTTTAAAGATTATCAAAACAAAAGGAGCGAAACAAATCTAGTCTATAATCCCAAGCAAGCGCCTCATAACCGTCTTTTTCATCCTGCCATTTTTTTTTTCACACCTGTTCTCTGCTACAGAATCCGGCAGCAGCAATTCATAGGAAACGAAGATCTATGAGTATATAGATAAGTGCACGATTTATGAGTACACAGTACATTTACTGTGTCATGCCTCGAGGTAGCATTTGTGGGATAACATAACTTTAATGTTTCCACACTGAAGGTTCTACAATGACTGCCCCTGAATCGGGGCGCACACACAGTTTTCTTGCTTTTTTCAGGCGAGAGTGTTCTTATCGCTGGCGCCCGTGTTTGGAGGCATCGCCGCAACGCGCAGGTGCAGAAGCGGCGCCGACCCATTTCGCCACACCACCCCCCCACACAGATAGGAACCGTCAGGGTTGAAGAGGTTTGGGGACCCACACCTGGCGTCCAAGGCGGGTGGTGTAGGGTGCGAGCCTAGGCGTTGCGGGCTGTTGTCGGCGAATTACGGGAGGCGTGCGGGGGTTGGTAGGCTCCTGGTGATAGCTTTATGGTCGGTGTATATGGTGCAGTGCTGTGCCTCGTGGAATGTGGCGAAAGTGTTGGACTGCTTCGTAGATGGCAAGGAGCTCTCTGTAATAGGCTGGCCACATCGTCTCCGCAGAAGGCGAGGTTGCATCGCCGATGCTGCCGGAAGGCGGGGGCGGCTTCGGGGAAGAGAGTTTCTTGTCGAAGAACGCCAAGGGGCGCCAGTTGTTTCCCACACGCTGCATGAGAGAGGCTCCGACGGCAGGTGCTAAAGGCGTCTGTGAAAAGACCCAGGGGCGCCTATGGCTTGGGATGGGAGAGCAGCGTAGCGTTGCAGAGGGCAGTTTTGCAGTCTTCGAACGCTTGCGTTAAGGCTGGGGTCTACCGTAATTACTTGAATCTAACGCGCACCTTTTTTCCGGTTAAGCGAGTTCATAAATCGCATGCGCGTTAGAATCGAGTACGAACAAAAAAATTACGGTCAATCTATTGCCATCGGCAAATCCAAAATGGCCGCCCTACTACATGCGTCGGCATGGCGCGTCGGCCATTTCTGCCTATGTGTTTCCCAGGTGCGGCCCTTCGTACGTGTGCTGAGGAGTTCGTCATCTAGTAGTGCATTAGCATCGACGGCGTAGAAGGGCCGACTCCAAAAACTCGAGTGCACCACGATGCCGCTTTTAAAAGAAAAGTCATCGCGTGTGCAAAAACGGACGTACATCAGGCTGCATCGCGGTCGTTCGGAGTTCCCGAAACGTCCGTGCGGGACCGGCGGAAACAAAAGCAGAAGATTGTCGACAGCAAAGCTTCACGCAAAGGCTTCAGTGGACCACAGCAGGGTCGGTTTCCCCAAATAATGAGCTGCTCGGCGATTATGTGCTTGAGCAGCGAGCGGCACAGCGGCCCGTGACGACAGAACTGCTCCAAGTGCGGGCTATGCAATTAGTCTTAGAAAACGGTCTAATGCGGAGCCAGCTTAAAGCGAGCAGGGGCTGGCTAACTAACTTTATGAAGAGGAAAGGCTTTTCTCTCCAAAGGGGAACATGCATATGCGAAAAGTTTTGCGGAGGAGTACGATGAAAAGCTTCACAGTTTTCAGAGGTCCGTCCTAAACTTGCGGCGCAACAACGGCTACCTGCTTGGGCAAATCGGGAATGCCTATCAGACGCCTCTTTACTTCGACATGCCTGGCACCACAACCGTCGAGCAGAAGGGGGCGAAGCAAGTTCGCGTGCTGACATTGGGCCACGGTAAAACTACAGTGACGGCAATGCTTTGTTACACGTCAGATGGGCACAAGCTTCGCCCGTACCTCATATTGAAATGAAAGACGCTCCTGAAAGGAGTCGTTTTTTCGAGTGGTGTGATCGTGCGGGCCAGCGAGAAAAATGGGTGCGCAGTTGCAATCGATGTCTTACGTTGTTTTTTTCGCGGTGGAAATCGGGTGCATGTTACAATCGAGGGCGCGGTAGAATCGAGTAAATACGGTAAGTGACAGGATGGTTGCCGCGTTGGCCGGCCAACACATCATGGAGAGGGGCCTGATATGTGGCTGCTTTAGGCACGAAGCGCCTGTAAAAGTTGAACATGCCCAGGAAACTGCGGAGGTCCTTCGCTGTGGCAGGCAGCGCGTAATTTTGCAGGGCCAGGATGCGGTCAGGCAAGGGTCTAGTTCCTTCTGAAGAGATTTTATGGCCAAGAAACGTGACGACGGGGGCGCCGAGCATGCTCTTCTGAACGTTTATGAGTAAGCCGTGTTCGTTGAGACGCTGGAACAG